CTGACCAGCATCCACGTTGGGTGACTCACCATTCACTACGTCACTCGTTACCGATCCGCGATGGACTGAAAGTCGTCCAGCTTCCCCTCCCCTCCCCTCTACCTTCCACCCTCCCCGCCCCCCCCCCTCCCACGCGACGAGTCGGGTCGGCGGCCACGCGCCACTTTCACTTGCGCGACAGCGTGGGTTGGAGGCCAACGGCTCCAGGTGCGTGTCCGACTACCGAAACCCACAACATCCGATAGTGCGTGACCATCCGGCCCGGCCGATACACCTCAGTCCCCACCGGAGCTGTGAGAAGTGTGTGGTGACTCAGACCGGGCGACAGGGCACTGAACGCGCTGACAACGATTTTTGATACCTATATAGATGACGTGTGAAAAAGTCGGGCAGGGATGGGTAAATCGGACAAGGGTACGGTTTACTACGCAAGAGGAAACTGGCTAATTCTTTCTAGAACTTACATTTGGCGCTTACACGGCGAATGCTGCTTTGCGACCTTGTACATACTATATCGTACTTTGCAGTGAAAGCGGACATACCAGTTCTTGCCTTGAAGTGCAATACTATGCAAGCGCAACAGGGAAACTCGATGCATGTTGATCATCATTGTTGCACCTCTCAAGCATAGGTATACGATGTTAGTATACCTAATGAGGATCGTCATGGAGAGAGAGAGAAAAAAAAATGAAGCCTTGCCAGCGGCATTACGAGGGCCGATGGGACGTTTTCCCTCGTCCTAACGTCGCTCACAAGTTTTGCAGAATAAAAACGGTACCTACCACTGACCTAACAAACGATAACAAAGGAAGTAATTTGAAATCCCTTTAACAATCCAAAACTTTGATTCCAGGCAAATAAATGATTTCAAAGGTGAAGGTTAAAAACCGAAACCATTGCACAACAAAGCCACGTGCGTCGTGCACAATCGCAGGTCATGCAGCGTCCACCGCTATCCGATATACGACACGTTCTCAGTGACCGACACTTTATCATTTAGGTCGCCCACAAGTCACTCACGCAACACACCAAACCGATCCCACGTTCTAATGCATTTTGACCTTGTGTTTGAAAAGGTTAGATATTGACCCGAGGAAGATCGATTGAGAGTTGAGACCATTATTTTGGCGATCAGACGAGGTCTTGAGGCACTTTTGACGGTTGGCGGAGGGGAGCTATACGTGCTCCCCGTCCCCCAATTGACATGGAACGAGTTTTTGAAGCGATTTTAAATCCGACGCTGTATCCGTGGCTGTTGCTGACCTTCACGGATATCTATGTATTTGAAGACTTCAACATTCCGATTCTTACGGAGCGAGCGAAGCGAGCGGAGTCTTACGTAGAATAACGGAAATTTCTGAGTATGAGCGGCCGGCCGGCCGGCCGGCCGGCCGGCCGGCCGTGCGGACGCTTTTACGAGGCTTATATCTCAGCAACCACTTGACCGATTTACATGCGGTAATTTTTGTAGGGTAGCTTCATTCCTTCTACCAAGTATTGGACTATTCCCCATGCATGTGGGTGACCCCTTATGCACGTGCCACGTGCAAAACGAAGAGGTGTCAGTTTTTTAATTGTTGCAATATCTCGGTAACTAAATGGCCGATTGCGCTGAAAGTTGGCATGTAGGTAGGCACCCACTAGGCACTGCATATCCATGTGCCAGAGTTGGGGTGCTGCTGCACGTGCGCACGTGCAGGGGTCGTTTCCAGATCTCGAGAACGGCTGGACCGATGGCGCTCAAATTTGGTACACAGTTAGGGACCAGTTAGTAGGGTGCCGTGCACAAGTCAGTTGGGACCCATTTTGCACGTGCGCACGTGCAGGGTGCCGCTCCCAGATCTCGAGAACGGCTGGGCCGATTGTGCTCAAATTTGGCACATCGCTAGAAACCGGTCAGTAGGGTGCCGTGCACAAGTCAGTTGGAGGTACCCCCTCGAAATTTCGCACGTGCAAGACTCACCCCCTCGCTCGCTCCGTTAGTCGCCCCAAAAGGCGCTATACTGGTAGTAAGACATATTCGTTTAACTGTCGTATGAGAATCAGCATCAAAACTCATAAAGAGGACTAACATGAGCTGTCATTTGGAGCAGTTCGGTCACTTTAACCCACACACAGAAAAATATTAACACCGTTAGCGGTGTAATTGCACAGTACATATCTGAGCACTTGAGGAAAGTTAATTTAGTCCCTTCCCCGCTTAACCCTAGAACGCCTAGGGGGGGGGGTGTATCAACCCCCCCCCCCTGAGGTTTTTTTCGAAGTGCACGCTAAACGGCTGGTCGTAGCGGGCTGAAATTTTCAATACCCTCTGGGGCAACCTTTGTGCATCTTTTGCCGAAAAAAATTGATCGGGTCATGTCAGGTCACGGAGTTATGACGTCATAAGAGGTACAGCCTCCGGCCGACAGTTACCAAACGTGTGCGCCGAATCCCTAGGTTTTCTGCCGGTGATACCCACATTGTTTGATGGATCATGATGAAACTTCCCTTGCATGTTGGGGCAAGCATTGGCTATCGTGTGGTGCAAGAAAATTGACCGGGTCAGGTCAGGTCACGGAGTTATGACGTCATAAGAGGACCAGCGTCCGGTACTATTTTTGAAAAGCGCCCGAACCACTATTTTGCTAATTCTTGTCACCTCAATGGGAATATGCAGCAATATTAGCTTCTATAAGGAGCAAATGGACCTTCCAAATCCAAAAATACAATCAGATTTCAAAAATTTAAATTTTGATTTTTCGAATTTCTGCCGCCGACTGTGACCTTGCCGACTTCCGGCGCTCCCAACGCGCCATTTTTAGAGCTAGGGAAACGAAATACATACCAAACGATAGAGAATTGATCAAGGAACACTATAGTGAAGGTTTCAAGTCGATATCTCCCACCGTTTTGCCGCAATCGCCGCGGAAAGTTGAAAAAAAGTCTATTTTTCCGAAAATTTGACCTTTGACCGGTCAAAAGTAGGTCAAATGTTGACCTAGGACCAAAAAATATACCACCAATCGCGAGATCTCGTTGAGAGCAATCCGTTGGTTTTTTTCCGCTAAGCTCTACGACCTTCCGTTTCGAAACGCCAGGGGGGGGGGGTCGTAACACCCCCCCCCCCCCTGGTCGTTCGTGTTATGAGAAATGGCCTGGTCGTGCGAGGGTTAATTAAATTACTCGCGCTTCTAAATGAACACCAGGAAGAAGGTAATAGAACACTGTTAGGAGGGTTGGGTGTTTTGCTACATGTAGTAAAACACCCAACCCTCCTAACAGTGTTCTATTACCTTCTTCCTGGTGTTCATTTAGAAGCGCGAGTAATTTAAGCGGGGAAGGGACTAAATTAACTTTCCTCAAGTGCTCAGATATGTACTGTGCAATTACACCGCTAACGGTGTTAATATTTTTCTGTGTGCAGTCCTTAAAATTCATAGCACAGCCATCTACATAGGAATAGCAAGCAATCCCGTACCAATTGAAACGAGTAATAATTACAGGCAGTCCCAGTCAATAACTGAAGCGTCACTGAGTACTCACTTGACCTCGATGGTATCGCAGCGTGTCAGCTCGCCGTTGTCAGTCATCTGGAGCGTGAGGATGGTCTGCTGATGGTGCAGGGTCACCACCTGACCTGACCCCGACTGGTGCTGCTGATCCAGGGTCAGGCACAGGGCACCCGCCAGCAGGCAGGTCAGCCAGAGCAGACCCAGCAGACGCCGACGGCCGGTCATGCTGCACCGCGGGGACGGGGAGAGTGAGAGGAGAGAGCGGCGCGGTCCGGTCGGCAGGGAGAGAGCGCGGGGAGACCGGCCGTTGCCGGCGCGTGTTGAGTGCCGACTGACAGCCCCGCAGGTGGCGGGGAGAGGGAGCGGGTTGCCAGGGAGGGGCGGGGAGGAGGGGAGGACCCGGCCGGACAGGCTGTGGGCGGCCCCGGAGTCAGCCGGTCGTACCGGACCGGGCGGCGCCCAAAACCGGTCGCCAATGCGTGGTGAGACGGCGGTGGCAGGAGGTCATGACAGGATGAGGGTCGAAATTTAAATGGGTTCGAACGATTTGAACAGGAATCAATAGGAAAAACGGTCAACCGGCGCTGCGGATTTTAGTCAGCAATGAAGGCAAAGTTGCATACCTATGTATATCTCAGGAAGATAGACGGCCGGTGAGTTCTGAATTTTTAGGTTTCCGTTTACCGGACAGACTATTGACAACAATACTCGCTTTGTCTCGTAATACAGGTATCTAAAGTCAATCCCATCCTTTTTTCACACGAGGGGGAGCAAATGCTAAGGATTGAAACGCAAGTAAAATTATGCTAATGGCCCGACTTACCAGCATTGTGGCAGAAAAGCGCATTCCTTAGCGAGTCGACACTTGTAGTAAAGCACGCTCTTCACTTTCCGCACGATCACATGGCACCTGCTCATTATCGTCGAGCATATCAAACCAGTCACACCAATACCATCCTATCTGTCGGACGATGGCAGTGAATATTATCACACTCGTCACTTGCCGGACACACTTATTAATCAGACATCAATGCGTCTGAGACCAGCGCAGTGCCATCGCTGGCTTCGGACTACTGTCGTCCGCTCCGCTCGGCGGAACCGGACGACCATGGTAAATGTGGGTCGTAGCGGTAACGGTCCTTCCGTGCCGAGCCAGTCGGCATCGGCACAATGCTGGAGACGGGTCGGTGAAGGCGTAGAAAGGAAAACCTTTACTACCTTTGCTACCAAATATGCCATATGCTACAACTATGGCGCAAATGCTTCAATACTTTGAAGCTTTTAATGTTCATACGCAGATTCAGCGAAAGCATGAACAGGAATAAAAGCAGGGCCATTGGCCAAAAGAAAGTTTTGGCTATATTTGAACCAATCAGCTGCTAAGCTTGACTCATCAACAGCATCACCATTGTATAGCGTACAGGGCAGCGTAATCCGGTAACATTTTTGGCTCAGCGGCCCAGCGAGCTACACCAGCAGACCCCGGCCGCTGAACAGCGGCGGCGGCCGGGTTGAACAACCACAGACAACCGTCGGCCGCCAACTGCAGCAGCGACAGATTCCCCATCCTCCAAACCATTCCTTTCATCGTGACGCTTAAACATTCACAAACCCCATCCCTCCCAGCGACATATCCCCCACTCTTCAAACCATTCCTGTCATCCAACTCTCGTAACCTTACCATTCACAAACTTCCTCCTTCCCTCCCTTCACAAACATCAATTTACCGGTAAGTTTCACTGTCATTTATGTGTCTTAACGTAAATTCATGGGTTTTTTCCCATATTCATGGCATAGTACATGGATATGGGTTTTCCCATGTTGTCTTGCTGTAAAAGTGGCCACCGGTCTTAGTTAGGACGGCCGGTTTGTTTTGCGCGGCGTAGTTAGGTCGCCGCCCTCCTCGCGAGGCCGGTAACGTAAGTTAGGGCCACTAAAAAAAAAAAAAAGGACTCTTGGCTCTTGATTGTTAATTGTTATTCTTTGATTTGGACGACGGTGAAAACAGGGCGCCTGGGGCGATTTGATCAAGGTTCGTGAAATTCACACGTGATATTTCGTATCTAGAAGGCCCACGTTAGGGGGAGAAGTTCCAAATGTCACGTGACTAATATGCCCTCCGGCGCCCTGTTTTCACCGGCGTCCTTTGATTTTGCATTGGGCTCTTTGGGTTTATAGTGTGATCTAGGTTGAGTGGGTCTTCGAAAGGCGTGCTGGATTTATTTTCTGAACTAGCTTAAAAGGTAATCAATCGGTTTTTGCGACAGGAGTTTTTGAGTCACATGGTACCTACCTAAAATGATTGTTTTTTCATCAGCTAGTCTGAGAATTATGCAATTCAAAATACAGTCTTACTAGATATTTCACCTTTCTTTTGTATTCTTCTGCTCATACTTTTGGCTTTATGAGTTGTCTGTTAATGTGTTTTGATACATTATTCAGGATATCATTGCATTTTTTTATTTATAGGCACGGGAACCGAAGAGGGGCATTGGGGGCAGCTTGCCACCACAACTCTGATGCCGTGGGGGCGGTACCCCCACAACTTTGAGACGGAATATCACCCTTTTTATGCAAATGTTTTCTTTTCTGTTAAAAAAATCAAGGGATGAAGATTAAGTGGCCTAAAGCCGGTGAGAACACTAGATTTTGGGGTAGGTACCCTAGGTTGACCTCTATTATGGTGTGCCCCCAGTCTGAAAGTAGTTCCTGCACCCCTGGCTTAATTTGTTCTGGCTTCAAATTTTCCCCTCTGCATCACTTGCTTCTTAGGTGTAGTGGCACCTACCTATTATTAGTTGTGTCACTGCAGCTACTATCTCAGTCGGGCGCACTGTGGTATCTCCGATTCATTTATGGAGACGTTTCTATTATTGGAAACGTTTCCAATTTTGACTACTCTTCTGTTCCAAAAATGGAAACGCTCGTTCCATAAATAGAAACGCTAACATCTCCGCACATATTTTCTTGCCAAGGGTGGCTGGATTTGATGTATAACAACTGTTTCGCGTAAAACAAGCTCAGATACATTAAAAGCACTTGTCTTCTTGCATGGAAAGCTGTCGTATGCATTAAAATTCACGTCTTTAAAATGCTCCTGAATCGTATCCATTTATGGAGACTTAGTTTCCAAAAATGGAAACGCCGATGTTCCAAAAATAGAAATGCTGAAGTTCAAATGTGTGCAAACTTAGCTTAAATGTGTTTTTAAAATTGACATGCAACTAAAAATTTGATGTTTTGGGACTGGTGTAGCATCTCGGCTCTCGGCAGTTACCTTGGACGTTGGGTTCGATAATAATACCTTACGCGCCGCAACTTGAGCACATTCAAAAGTCAACTAAAACTAAGATTTCCCAGAAACTATTGGACAGATGTGGTCCAAAGTGGGCAATACATAAAGCGTAGATATCATTTCAATATATAAAATTAATATCAATGTTACACATGAGCTAGAATGAATAAATTCATCGTCAGAATGCAACGGTATTTGGTGTGACGACGGTGCAGACCTTATTTCCATCCTGCTTTTTAACGTATTTGCACGGAGATTTACATTGATCCGAGCCTACGATCATATTCAGCACATTTGAAATATCATAAAATGCCCACGTAAGTCCCCAAATAGGGCTTTGCAACAACTTTCATGCGATTTAATCAAAGATTGACGACCACCAGGCCGCTGGTACACCGGAAAACGCAGCGTGAAAATGAATGGAAAACTGAAGCTCCCGGTGATGTGGTTGTTCCAATCAATGGGTCAGTCTTTCAGTAGTCTGTTAAAAACGTTATTTTTTGTTCAAAACATTCATAAATGTTATTATTTTCGATTAGAAAAACGTGTGAATTTTTTATCACGTCAACATGTTATAAGCATCGCCTTGTTCGTGAACTTTCGGTTTTCTGATCGGAAAGTCGGAGAACAGTAACATAGACTAGAATGCTGGCTGTCGATTGGTGGCATCCTGCGCATGCCAAATTGCACCAATCAATGCCCAGTTTGTTTTAAAGGTAGCGATGCACACAGCGTCTCCATTTATGGAACAGATCGTTTCTATTTTTGGAAACGGCGTATCCATTTTTGGAACATTGTTCCAAAAATGGAAACGTTTCCATAAATGGATCGGAAATACCACAGTGTGCCCGACTGATCTTGTCTGGCATGACACCTCCCTGCTGGCTGCTGGCTGGTGCCATGTCATAACAGCAGCTCTGTATGGCAGAGTGTAAGGTTTAAATATGAGAAGGCTCTTAAAACTAGTTAGTTGGTTTTATTTTCCTACTGATGAACATTACATGAACAGGCCAATATCACCTGTCAATAAAGGCATTCAATTCAATATCAATTAATCTACCTATGTTATATTGTATTCAAGGTGCTCTTAAGTCATGACATTTTTAAATTCGCTTGAATTATATTCCTTCAAATTGTCTGTCCCTAAGGACTTAACATAGTTTCTGACTATACAAGCTTATTAAACTAGGCTATGATGATGGGGCTCGTAAATTCAAAAGGATGAATAAATATGAAATGTCTAAAAACACTCATTTAAAACATAACAATTATTTTAAGAAAAAGGTAAGTGTGTTGACCACTGATCCAGAGTTAAGTTGTTGGGATTATACCATAGATGTTTTACATAAACACTTGTAGGTATCATACTATTAGATGTTTAAGGATTATCAACTCAGAGATCAGACTAATGCACAAATGCTAGTTTCAGTTTAAGGTTAGTTCTGATTTGGACAGTCAATAGTTTGAAAAAATATAAGTTTATTTTTCAGTAAGACCAAGAAGACCATGTCATGAGCATAATGGAATTATTTAAAGCCATGCAGAAAAGGTCAGCAGGTCATTTGAAGATCAGAATATAACATTTAGTTGACTTGTTAAAACCTAGTCAGCAATGCAATGTTATTGTATGGAATAGTTCCTTGCCAAACTGGGCTGTATAATATAACATTCATGGGGTCTGGAAATTTATTAATAGGAACTGTGTGGCTGATGACTTAACCTCTTGCCCTTTTTGCAGTCTGCTATGAGATGTGCAATTAGGTAACCTGAAAATACAGCTATTGCCATGGCTGCTGCTGCAAAATCAAGGGCAATTGAAAAAGATGTTGATGGCCTTATTGCTTGTGTAACTGGCTTCTCTGAGACAGTAAGTAGCTGCACTGTTAACTGCTTATCTGTGGTAACTGTGGTGCTATTAGAAATACACTGCTTACTTTAATTGCTGCCTCCTGTTTAGAGGTTTCTTAACCCGCGCACCGACGGGGGTCTGCGCCAACTTCGCACCGACGGGGGGGGGGGCGGATGACCGCCCCCCCCTGAGATCTCGAGAACGAAGCAAGATAGCGACAAGCGGTAAACGGCATCGGATACGCACGGTCATGTTCTACAATTTTTACTGAGGTCATTTTCAGGTCAGGTCAAAGATGACGTCACAGGGTTCAAAAAAGTCAAAATGGCGGCGCTAGATATGGAGAGAGTTTTTCTCGAATAACTTTCGAATTAGTCAAGATAGGAACAAACTAAGGCCATCATCGTGATCCTCTCGTCAATCCGCATCGAATGATATATATGTTGACCTCGAAAGGTCAAGGTCAAAGGTTGACCTCAGGTCACGTGACCTCGACGTCATCATGTATATCATTCGATGCGTCTTGACGAGCTGAACACAATGAGACCATCCGCGCGGCTGTATCTTGTTCCTGTACGGAGTTATTGGCCAAAAACCTTTGGTGACCTTTGATGACGTCACATGACCTTACAGCTGCCCAACAGCAAAACAGGCCTCAAGGTAGTGAAGGTTGATCGTATATGAAGTCATGTATGGTATATGGGGCCATTCCGACCCGTTTTAGTGGTAAAAACAGGGAGTTGATTTTCCCCCCATTGACTTATAATGGGGAGGTCGCGAAATTGACCTGACCTTAGGTCACCGATATCGAAATTCCGAGATATACAAATTGTAGCTACTAATGACCTAATAACATCCTGCGACTTTCAAAGGCCTCCGACATCTACTGTAGCTCTGGCACGGTGACAAAGTTGCAAAAAAAGTGACTTGAGGTTGGGTCATTCAAAGTGACCTGGTGACCTGACCTTAAAAGTTAGGAGGTTCAAACTTGCACACCATGTGTAAAATTGATGAGGGAATAGTCGTACCAAATTTCGCGGCCGCTATTCGCGAAAAACCTCAGGGGGGGGGGGGCGGATATCCGCCCCCCCCCCGTCGGTGCGCGGGCTAATATCTGGTGTATTATCTTCTAAAGTTTTAACCATTATTTTTTTTTGTTATTGAAGATCAGCTGATGCAAAACTTTGATAAAGTTCATTGTTGGTATATTATTTCAGATGAATTAGATCTGTCTCCTTGCTGAATAAAAACAAAATTATATACACTATATTAGATATTTAACTTATTTTTTTTTCAAGTGTTTTTTAAGTATGTGATCTTATCTATCAAATTAATGAATTTACAACAGCTGTACAATGTAGCTTAATTAAAACACCGAAAGCTCCAACGCACACCGCGCATCACTACTGATTTCTTAACCCTCCCTACCACAGTTGGAGAAGGACGAGGAAAACTTTGAGCTATGCCGCCGGTACGTGCTCTCCAACATCTACTACCACCGCTACCTGGACACAAACAGCCACGAAGTGCGCCGCCAGCTGCGCGGACTGGCCACCAAGTTCCGTGTGCACGCGCTTCCCGGCCTCGCCGAGCGACTGGAGACCCTCTGGAAACGGCTGGTCGAGGCGCGAGACTGGTCCGAACACGCTCAGGTGAGGAACTTTAAGGGAAGGAGTGATATTGGGAGGGAGGGTTGTTGGAGGTTGTACATGGTAGTGGTTGCTGGGCAGATGCAAGTTTTGATAGGATTTTAGATAGGATTCGTTTTCGCTTTTTTTTTTTACTTTTTATTGACGATTCCTTTTTTCACTTTGTCTGAACTTGGCCTGAAGTATGCACTATGCAGTATGCACACATTATGAGAAGAAAAGCATCATCCCAATCCCTCGGGAGGCAAATTCCTGGTGACTTTCCTTCTTAAAACCATCATTCCCCGTCTCTTTTCAGTGGGACATCGAATGGCGTCTTCTCAGTCTTTTGGTGAACCTGAGCAACAACCCGACGTCGGTGGCGAGCCGGCCGCGGGCGGCGCCCGGTCAGCAGCCGCTGGCGGCCGTGTCGGAGGGAGGCGAGGAGCAGGATCAGGAGGTGGACTGGAGGAAGGAGCTGCTGCTGCCCGAGGAGGAGTACAGCCCCTACCAGAGCCCGGTGAGGGACGGCGGCGGCTGACGGTCGGGGGAGGGTGAGATGAGGGAGCTACTGTGCTCAGGTTTGATGTGGATGGGTAATTGATGAATAGTTATATTGATAAATATCCTGTTAGGAGAATATGGGAGATGCGTGTAAAAACATGTTATTTTTGTGGTGTTTCATCTGTAGTGATAATTCAAACCTTATCTAAATGCCTTTTTTACTAAAAATATTAGAGCCGATTTTTTTTTTTAGCTTTTTGCCGCCTCTGAATTGATCCCCGCCACCACCTCATAGTCGCACAATTACAAAATTTGACCGTATTTGTTGCCAGGAGGAGTGGTCGGACCTGGACGGCGATGACGACATCAACATATCTCCGCCGCCGGTCCACGTCGTTCGATTCAGCCGGTCGTCACTGCTGCTGCCGGGTGGGTCCACATCGTCATCGACCTGCAGAACTCCTCCATAGAGTGATGTCAACGGGCGACGTCTGGGCAATATGCGCATCATCCTTGGTGACGAGTGGAACATAAAGTTGAAGTCAAAAAGGCAGCTAACTAATTAGTGAGCTACATATCCAGGCTGTTTTTGAGTTCGAATGGTGCAGTGAATCTAAAACATTGAAGTGTCATGGTGGTCTCAGGTCTGATTACAGGCATAAATTTGTAACTAATATTTCTGTTTTCTCTGCCTTATAACCGTTGTCTTTTGTCTAGTGGCTCATTCCCTTTGGTTCTTACCTGCGTTATAACCCATGCCCCGTAACCAGTCCAATCTTACCCTCTCTGACCACTGCCACCCCGATGTGACCTCCCCTCTGCGGTCTCTGCTGACAGGAGTGGAGGTGGGCCGACCGAGCGCCGGCCGGCCGCAGCCGCTGGCCGACGAGGGTGACCCTCTCACCTGGCTGGAGGAGCACATCTCGCGGCCCTACCAGCCCGTGGAGCTCGGCCCGGGACCGCTGCGGCCCAGCCCCGACGCCGCCGAGACATAGTCAGTGAACCGAGATTGGCTAGAAATGAAGCCCGTTTCCATACTTTGCTGCTGTCTCTTGCGCTTCCCCTGTTATTACTCGTGATTTCAGATAATATTCGTAGAATGCTTTTGTTTGCGTGATTTGATTGCATGATTGGTTTAAGTTATTAAATATAGAATGACAAGCTTCATGACATTGACTTGTTTTGGCCTCCTCACGACCCACCATCTCTATAACCCTCCCCCTCCCCTCCTTCCAGTCACGCGCTGCAGGTGCGCCTGGGTCTGGCCGGTCCCACCGATCTTTCTGTGCTCACCGAGTGGAGCGTCTGCCGCGAGCTGGTCTGGCAGCTGCTGTCTCCCGCCGACTCGTCACTGCTGCAGTGCCGGGACGGCCAGTTCCGGCCGACCGGACGGTTCAGGGTGCACGGACTGACTCAGGTGAGGCAGGAGTGGGATACTTCGGGGCTAAGGCGATGCGTGGACCTCATATCTCGTGAGCAATAGTGCGTCTGTAAGCCAGGTGTAATTTGCACTAAGCGGAATATATCAAGACAGACTCTCCCTACTCACACCCCCTTCTCTCCACACAGGCGGCGCTCTCCAGTCAGCTGAGTCGTTTCTGCGCCCCCGTGACGGCGGTGGGTCGGCTGCGCGGATTTATCCGCTCGCCAGGTCCGCTGTCCACCCACCGGGCGTTCGCGCGGTCACTGGCTGCCCACCTGGAGGGGCTGGACGCGGAGCTGGTCACCCTGGAGACGGAGCTACAGAAACAGGGTGAGATTGGTGATGGAGAGGAGGTGTGGGAGCGGATACTGGGTGACTGTGATAATAGTGCAGTTGACATGATGCCGGGTAGGAGCCAGTTTGCCTCAGCTCAGCCTCAGTTCGCTTCAGTTCGCCTGTAGCTCAGCTGATCTAGTATTTGATTTCTAGTGGTTGTTTTTCGTTGCATGTTTATTTATTTGTTCATGCATTCATTTATTCATTTATTCATTCCTTGTATGGCTTTAGTAGTGACCCTTATTCCGGCATGCCTCTGCGCAGCCCTGACCTGACCTGTGACCCCCAGAGGTCACGCTGACCCTCCGTGGCATTCAGCGTCGCCTCTCAGACCTGACCTGTGACCTGTGACCCCCAGAGGTCACGCTGACTCTCCGTGGCATTCAGCGGCGCCTCTCTGCGTGGTTCTGCCACCTGGCAGAGCTGGACCGTCTCCTACAGAGAGGGGTACTGAGTGTGCCAGACGACCGGCCGGGATGGGTACGCGCCGCCAGGTTAGTGTGAGGTGGAAAACGGGAGGGCACATAGCTCTGGTACTGCTACCTACGGGCTCCTAAATTGTCATATTATCTGACTCCCAAGAACTTCTTGAGTAATGCGAGGAAACGATGCACTTTACTTCGATAAGGTTTTAAAGCTACGCGCTATTCCAGGTCGTGTATTATCTGTCCTGTCTCCGCCCCCTTACCAGGCTCGGCTCTGTCCCATCTCACCCGACGTCGCCTTCTCGTTCCAGGCTGGTCTCTGTGCTCTATGAAGCGGTGGACGTGTGCGCCGACCCTCGCTGGTCTCCTGCTCTGGTCCGTCTGTTCCTGGACACTGTCCAGCCGATGGTGGCCGTGGTCAGCGGCTGGACAGTGCTGGAGACCGACCCCGACCCCAACCGGGAGTTCCTCATACAGAGGTAAGCGAAAGGGTGAGAGGGTGAGAGGGATTGGTTGGTTAGGAAGAATGTGATATGATTCAGGGGATATCTTGGTTTTGCGTTTGCAGTTCATCTGGAACAGTGGTTCACTTTGTCTTTAATACCTCGCTGTGTCGTTATGCTTCGCTCAAACTTAGTCCTGGCAGCTTACTAGACGTACTCTCAGCTATTTAAATTATCGAAGCCTTCAATGGTCAACATTGCCTTACCGCTGTATTTCATCCCACGGTATGCCATGCTTGTCCAGGAACGAAGAGACGGCGGTGACCGATCCGCAGTACTGGGCCAGCGGCTTCACTGTGAACTCAAACTTCCACGATTACTGGACAGATGGCGTTGAGCCGCTGCCGTTCCTTCTGCCCCATCTCGACCAGCTGGTGCAGACGGCGAAATGTCTGAGGATCCTCTGTCATCTCAAACTCACCGATCATCTAGGTAAGAAGAACTGTTTATGTATTTGAACACCAGCTTTCTATGCGTTCAGTTATGGACACACACACTACCTTTGCAGCGATGCTCAATTTTTAGGGTTTGGATGGTTTTCACACATCTCAACGGGTTTACTCTTCACTAATGGCCTGGCTCTGTTTCAGATGACAGCAGCCTTCAGGAGGAGTTCAACTCTTTGGTGTCCGAGGCTCTCTCAAAGGCTGACGAGTCTTCCCAAGAGTCTGAACAAACTCCTGGGTTTGAGGACTCACCTCAGAAGAGTGCCAACACCCTCTCAAATGCACCAAAGAGTTCAGAGAGTACCCACACGTCTGAAGCTATCGACCCAGGAAAAGAACCCAAACCAGGCAAGCCAGTTAGCGTCGCTGGGGATTCGAAGGCGGCGAGCGCTGCCGTCTTCTCCCCAGCACCACCTTCGGCAGCCGTCTCAGCGGACGGACCAGAGGGCTCAGACGCAGCCGGCGCCGAGACCACAGGAGACGCTGAGAGCGTATCTGCAGCTGGGACCGCGACAACTGTGGTCACCGCGAGTGAATCTCCAGAGGGCGGCCCACAAGAAACCGCTACTGAGAAGCATCCAATGGCAGCAGATGCCCCTAAACTCCCTTCAGTGGAATCAAAAGACTCCCCTGACGACCGTCCAGCACGCGCTGAAGCCCCAGCTCACCCTCAGCCCGCTGCAGAGGACGCCCTCAGTGACTGTGACAGCGGTCGGGGGTCGGAGGAGGCCCCCTCTCCGCCCCCGCCGAGGGGACCGGCAGCACCCCCTGGTGGGATGCTGCAAGAATTGCTGGTGTCCTTCGGTTCGCCATACCTCAGCGCAGCGTTCGAGGAGGCGCTCTACGCCACGGATAGGGGACGGGATACTGCACCGGAGGCGCCAAAGAAGAGGTAAGAGGTAGAGGGGTCCGTTCAGACGGTAAACCGTAAAGAGGTTTGTGTTTGTCTCTCTTTGGTTTGTGTTGCTGAAGAACTACTGATGTGCTTTTTTACGGTATCTGAAACGCACCAATGAATGCAGTGCGAATTTCATGTCAGCTAGATTAGCTGCTAGGTAATGTTGTTAGACAAAGAGAATTAAAGGTAAATATGTAAAAAATTAGTTATTACTGCTGTCATTGCCGTCCTTCGTTAGCCTGTTTTCCATTTCGCTGACCCCACGTCTCGCCCCCGCAGGTCGGCTCCGCCGGTGCGTCTGACCACCTCGATCCCCCACATCATGTGCTCGGCTCTGAGCGGACCGCTGGCCGCGCGGCAGGCCTCCGTCTGCCGTCGAATGGTGACCGCTCTGCGCTCAGACTTCCAGCTGGGGGAGCACCTCAGGATGCTGCGCCGCGTGTTCCTCATGGAGGCGGATGATCTGATGGCTCAGTTCACACTGCAGCTCTGTGATACGGTGGGTGTTGGTGGTGTGTGGATGGAGTGTGAGGAAACTCGGTGGTTGACTGTGTGTTTTAGCTGATATTTGACCATGTGGCCGATGGGGATGTTGGGTGATGGGAGTCGTTCCTAATGGGCTAAGATATAAAAAACGCGCTGAAATTACGTTAGAATTAATATTAATCCCTTACCTAACAATAAAAGCTCTTTGAGGGCTTTCTCCTCATCACCTATTAATCATAAGCTACCCTCCCTGGTTCGCCCGCCCCTGTCTCTTCCCCAGCTGGCGTCTGACTCCGACTCTGACGAGTCGGTGAGTTTGACTCTGTGTCTGGAGGACTGCGTCTCGGCTCGGTACCCGGAGCAGGCGGCTCGGCTCTCTGTCACTGTGCAGCACCCGGCGGAGCGCGAGCTACCCCTGCTGCAGCGGCTGGCTACCGTCACCCTGGGGTACAGTGTGCCCTGGCCGTGTACTATCGTCATCACAGACAGCTGCCTGGAGCGGTACAACGCCATGTTTCGGTTCATACTGCAGCTGAAGTTTACACTGAGGGCGCTGCACACGCTCAAATTTGAAGGTGCGTTGTGGCTTGCTTTTGTTGTTTTGTGCAGAGCTGGATAAGCCACTTGGTGTTTGGAAGGCGAGGCAGTGATCGGCTGTCCATTCTGGACAACCCATATTGCTCACTAATTGCATGCTCAGCTTTTACTTGAATGCTTATTGGACCATGTATCGTGCTTGAAATATAATAATACGCTCATCTAACTAAAACTCAGATAGTCTGACTTTACCATGTTCCCTCGTCACTAACAGATCTGGATCGGTGTGCTGGGACGGCCGACTCCAGCACCCAGTCCCCGCTGGACCTGGACCGTTCGGAGCCGGTGCCTCGCGCCTCGCGGGTCCTCCGGCTGCAGCTGCTGCGGGCCTGGCTGCTCCACTTCGTCGGCAGTATACACAGGTGAGGATTACCGAGGGTGGACACTGGACACATTTGGTGTCTTGGAGAGGGTAGGGGATAGTGTGAAGACTTTTCGCAGCGTCGGGAATGACTTGCTGAATAGGTAGAATATGGGTAGGTGTGGACTGTGGAGGTTCCTTAGTCTGTAGGAAGCAATGTAGGAAGTATGATTTGGCCATCCTACATAGTTTACCTTCACCCTCATTCTGTCCGTCCTTTTCGATATTCCTCCCGTCAAACACAGTGACCTTTACAGACCTTTATCAGTACAGACCTTTATCCTTTTTCAGCTACATCATGATGCGGGTGCTACATTCGACCTGGCTGGAGCTGGAGGAGCAGCTCGAAAAGGCCGCTGATGTCGACGCCATGGCCCAGAGTGAGTCTCCGGCGGTGGTGACGGACTAGGGCCGGGGTTAAAGGTGATGAGGTAACATCATGTGGTGTCCATGTGTAACTATTATTGAAAACATTTAAATCAATGTTCTTTGGTAAGCGATCTAGATTTGCGCACGGGACGTCTGACTTTGCCTACTTTATTGCATGATGCTAGATCTTCACTAAATTGAATGTTTATGGTTTCACTGGTAAGGGCTAGTCATTTTCCCGACTTCTTCACTTTCTCATTCCCTTCTTCGCTCGCCAGTGCACCAGCTGTACCTGGGCGTTCTGCTGCGCCGCTGTCTGCTCAGCGGCTCCGCTGAGCGGACCCTGCACGCGGCCGTGCAGTCGGCGCTCCATCTCTCCGGACGGCTGCAGCTGCTCTGGACAGCTGCCGGCCAGCTGCCCGAGGCAGAGCTGCTCAAACTGGAGGCCGACTACGTGCGCTGTCACCACTTTACAGCCGGCCTGCTGAGGCAGTACAGGCAGACCATGGGACACGGTGAGTGGGGTGTCTGCTGAGGCAGTACAGACAGACCATGGGACACGGTGAGTCTGCTGAGGCAGTACAGACAGACCATTGTCCTCTCCGTGGCCTAGTGGATAAGGCGTCCGTCTCCTAACTCGGTGGCAGCGAGTTCGCGGCCGGGAAGCTCCACGTCGTTTGACCCGCGTTCCTATACATATTAAGCCAGCTGGCAACTGGCGAGAGAGGGTCACGCTAGACCCGGTCGGACCGTGCCGCCATCTACCTGCGGCACGTTAAACTTTCGATCCAAATTATCACCGGTGAACCGGGCGCGGGCAGAAGGTGGGGTGGTGGGTCCGTGGTGTCATTCGCAACAAGCACTGCTTAGCGGGGCACCCGGGCCCATAGCCACCCATTCATCCATTCGGACAAAATTTCTAAAAAAAGGACACGGTGAGTCTGCTGAGGCAGTACAGACAGACCATGGGACACGGTGAGTGGGGTGTCTGCTGAGGCAGTACAGACAGACCATGGGACACGGTGAGTCTGCTGAGGCAGTATAGACAGACCATGGGACACGGTGAGTGGGGTGTCTGCTGAGGCAGTACAGACAGACCATGGGACACGGTGAGTCTGCTGAGGCAGTATAGACAGACCATGGGACACGGTGAGTGGGGTGTCTGCTGAGGCAGTACAGACAGACCATGGGACACGGTGAGTCTGCTGAGGCAGTACAGACAGACCATGGGACACGGTGAGTCTGCTGAGGCAGTATAGACAGACCATGGGACACGGTGAGTGGGGTGTCTGCTGAGGCAGTACAGACAGACCATGGGACACGGTGAGTCTGCTGAGGCAGTATAGACAGACCATGGGACACGGTGAGTGGGGTGTCTGCTGAGGCAGTACAGACAGACCATGGGACACGATGAGTGGGGTGCCTGCTGAGGCAGTACAGACAGACCATGGGACACGGTGAGTGGGGTGTCTGCTGAGGCAGTACAGACAGACCATGGGACACGGTGAGTGGGGTGTCTGCTGAGGCAGTACAGACAGACCATGGGACACGATGAGTGGGGTGCCTGCTGAGGCAGTACAGACAGACCATGGGACACGGTGAGTGGGGTGCCTGCTGAGGCAGTACAGACAGACCATGGGACACGGTGAGTGGGGTGTCTGCTGAGGCAGTACAGACAGACCATGGGACACGGTGAGTGGGGTGTCTGCTGAGGCAGTACAGACAGACCATGAGACACGGTGAGTGGGGTACCGGCCTGCTGAGGCAGTACAGACAGACCATGGGCCACGGTGAGTCTGCTGAGGCAGTACAGACAGACCATGAGACACGGTGAGTAGGGCCACAGGTCGCTCGTCGGGAGCCATTTAACCTCATCAAATGATTGAATTTCAGGCCAGGCTTTATATTGTACATAAGCTTTCGAAAATCGACTGGAAGTACAAGTGTGATATTTTGTGGATGATACGGATGGGGCACAGGATCCATTACCAACCTTGTGTGGTTTATTTTTCGAATGAGGTGGTTTACTGTTCCATGTTGACACGTGTACTCACGTTCGTCGAAAAGTTTAAGTAAGTGATTTCTACTTTCCACATCAAATATCCCCGGTGTTCCCTGTATTAATATCGTTTTACGTATAGAAATTACATCTTCATGGGTGTAATACCTGACATATTGCATGCGCCCATTTTGTTCCGCACGAATTCATTTCTCCCTTACATCCAGCTGACACAAGATCTGAGGTAGCTGAGTGTTTCAATTACCTCTCATACAACCACTGTGTAACATATCTGCCCTCGGTGTGTGTTTCAGTGGATAGCCTGGCAGCAGCAATGGCTCATAGTGCACCGGGACAGATATCATACGACGAACTGGTTTGAACCGACGCGAACTGACGTGAGCTGTCCCTAACTGGCGTGATTGCGCCGCCCGTCCGTCCGTCGAGCGGTGTCATGTGAATGAGCGGCGACCCCGGGTTGGTCATATGAGTGACATCTCGTGATAGAACTGGTATAAAACTGGTGCTGATTGGGCGGTTGGAAGGGTGACCCCCGGCTGCCGGTGACTCGTGAGGTAGCGACTAGCCAGGATGGTTGGTTACTTGGTGTAGCGTCTTTTGGCGCATGACGGATGTCGGGAGAGCGCAGTTGAGAGCAGGGATGGGAGTCATGTGCTGGTGCTGAGTGTGTGAGTGCGTGAGTGAAGTGTGGTGTGAGTGCTCGTTGGTGCTACTGTGTAGCGGCTGAGCTGGTGAAGTACTCAGGTGTCTGATTGATTGAATTAGAAGAATGGCTGAGAGTTCAACACTCGCAACAGTTACAAATGACTGTGTAACATTTTTGAGCCTGACTTTCATTCCCACATGTGCGTACTCATTCCCAACTCATTGATGAATAATATATGCAAATAATATATAACATTTGCTACACATTTTCTTTCATTGTGAAATGTGAAATGGTGATGGAGAAAACTGAAGAAAGACCATATAATAAGTAGCAAATGGAGATGTTTGCTGGATGTGAATATTATTCAATCATGGATCTCTGTGTACCTGACAGAGTTGTTATCTGAACAGTTACAATATATACAGACGGCTGTGATTTGATCAATATAGAAGACAATACTATTTCTGGGAAATTATTGGCAATAAATCGCTTGATCAAATATATTCACTTTTAATGTCCCTCTCAAATGGCACGGTCGGCGTCGCGATCTGCTTTGATCACTGTAAACCACATACGTGATCGGTCTTTATGTTAGACCCAATCCCAACAACACTGCAACAAGCTAAACCGAATTATGGGCTGTCAGATGAGAATTTGACGCTGTAATTGCTTGAACCTGACTGCCATAGGGCATGAACATTTTGTCAGAGAGTTGCCGAGAATTTAATCAGTTCCAGTTGAACATTTAGTGTTTGTAGTTGTTCTTCAATGTGGTTTTGTGGTGTAGAATACTGAGTGTTATATAACTGAAGTTGTAGGTACTTGTGTAACGCTACCGTATATCGAGTACTAGTTTTTATTTGAATGTTTGTTATGATTTCTTCAAACCCTTCAGTATTAGTCGCTTTGTCACATGCAAAGCGCACGCTTCTCTTAATTAAACGCCGATGCTGCGAGTTTTCCTTCAATGGGTCTTCAAACTCCCTGAGTTCACAGATAAATATACCACGTGAAAATAACACCACCCTGAATGGTTTGTTTTCGTACTGAGCTGCAATTCAAACCTGCTGCAGCCCCAGCGCCCAGTCCGGCTCGCTGTCTCGCCGCTGCGGCTCTCATGAGCCCCACGCTGTGCGCCCGTCTGCGGGGCGCCCTTCTCACTGCCTCTCTCCCTCTCGTCTCCCTGGCCGCCTGTCGTCCGATGCCGCCAATTGTCGTCCGCATCGTTTCTGCTCTGTCGAGTCTCCGTGCCGATGAAAGCCGCCCCCGGCGGTCGGGTGGCCGCATTGTGCCCGTGTCAGGAGTTAATTTAACCTAATTAACCAGGTGGTCGCCGGCCGACCGCCAGTGATGAAAACGCGCCGTTTGATTCACACACACTCATACTCCGGGATCACCGGCAGCCAGGTGGGCCCTAATTGAGTGATCATCGCCTGTAGAAAACTAATTAAGTAATTAAAACGAGCCCTGTTGATTTAGAGCGCGGGGCGGACGGTGCGCGCGGCGCGTGCGTCCGTTTAGCGGGACGCTGCCGACCGCGAGCGCGCCGGTGGTCCATTTCACGGTGGGTGACTTCGGAGGGACGGCAGCTGGCCGCAGGCTGTGTGGGCTCGGCAGTCAGGGCCCTCGGGGGGTGCCCCCTGTCCCCCCTCTGACGGGCAACTAACGGGAACCGCACCGGGATCGGGGCAATGGGGAGTCGGGCAAACCGAGCGGCGATTTACAGCCCGATGTGGCTGCGGTCGTCCTCTTCGGCAATATCGCTGCCGCCGATCTACGGCGATTCGTTGAAAAAGATTTTCCAATCATATCCCGCGACCGCCTGGGGGGGGTCGGATCCGACCCCCCCTCCGTTTTTCTTGAATAACTCATGAACCGCTTGCGCTATCAACTTGAAACTTCGCATACCTTCTCCCCCATCAATTTGACGTCTCCTGTGCAATTTTTAAGAAAAAAATTTCAAATATTTCTGAGATATATCGATTTTAGTGATGTAACTACATGGCGTTTTCAGTCAAAAAATGATAAATGTTTAAAAAATCGTCAAAAATCGAGATATTAAGCAAATTGCAAATTAAGGACATGAAAAGACGCAGCTTAACGAGTTCTTTAAAATGGCAATCTCGGATTTTCCATAAAATGCGTTTTTCACCTCTAAAAATTCAAAAAAACTATATTTTTTGGAAAACAGCTAATAAAATCCAAAATTTTGAGAATTTCCAAAAAACCGGAATATATGTTATAGAACTCTATCAGAACATTAGATGTCCCAAATTTCAACTTTCTATCTTGATTTTTGACCCCCAAATTGTAAAAAATAGCTCCAACATGCATAGGGCATGGTGACGTCATAAGCATTTTCGCGAATTAGAGGCACTTCTGAACATCGCATGTGAAAACAAATGGCACCACTAGATTCCTGGGACAAAGCTCGTCTAGAAAAGTGCATTTTTATGTCAAAAATAAAAAGTTGAAAAATTGACCTTTTTTTCTTAGCCCTCGTTTAGTTATGTGTGGTATAAACGATTTTTATGCTTTCAATGCACACTTATCACCAGCACAGTGACTTGGGGTCACATATAACCATTACCATCGGATTTGGCGTGAAAAATAAGCCATAAAACATGTGTCGCACGCCCATGTAGCAGAAAGTGAAAACCGTGACCTTTCGTGACCTGACCTGACCTTGACCCGTACTTAGTATGGCCCCTATACGCACATGGTACCTTCACTAGGTCTTTGAGGTCATTTGTGGTGAGTTTCGAGCAGCAGCTATCGATTCCGCTGTCCGTAAGCCTAATCATGCAAAACCCCTGAATTTGACCTTTGACCTGACCTTGACCCGAAAGTTGACCTCAATCTTAAAATCTTAAGAGTGCTTTGGGAAGGTCTCGTAGAGACCTTTCGAACGCCGCCTCGCGGGGCTCGATACGACCATTGGTTCTCGAGATAACAGGGGGGGGGGGTCGGATCCAACCCCCCCCCCCCAGGCTGATGTGGGTACGGAAATAGCCCAGGCGGTGCCGGGATATCTGAAGTTCTCCATACACCCATGAGTGTCGCTTGTTTTGAGGTTATCAACGATTGGGTTAGTTGAATGGATATCTCGCTGGGTCTTCATTACCTTACCTACACTTACAAACTGAATATTGCCTGCGCATTATCCCACTCGGCATCTGGTGTATTCCATGAATATTCATATCTCATGGGACGCTCGGTACCTGCACACCGTCAAATCAGCCCGACCGTTATTTCATCCAGATAGCACTGAATGTGCACGCCTAATTCGCAGACCTATAATTTCGCTGCGTGTTATTTTCTCCCCCGAGCGTGCACCTGCGCTGGTGCCATATAGTGTCGGTGACCGTCCGCCTATTCGTCCGTCTGTTTTAGCCAGGGGCTCCGCCACAGGGGGGGTCGCGGGGGTCCGGACCCCCTCAATAATTTACCTGGGGGGTACAGTACCCCCCAATATTCCAGATACCTATAAGTTTGTTTTCGCGTAGAAATGACTAAATCATTCACAGTATGCGTCTTGAATATGTTGACAGTCGTGTAGCTAAGGAACTGAAGATCTAGAAATGTAGTGTATATAATGTCGTAGCAGACGAAGTATACTCGACAGTCGACAGTGACACTCGCCGGTCTACATGGGAGTGTCTTCATTCCACCATTTTTGTTATTACTATGAATGCGTTTCAGATGGCTAGGATTAGCTAGGTATGCTAGAATTTGGCTATAATTTTGCAAGGCATATTTTAACAAATTTTTACTGCGTCCCAAAATTGAGCAAAGGGCACGTGCTACGACTATAAAAGGCACAGGGCAAGGAATAGAGTAGGGCATGGCACAGGATATTTTAGAGGGAAGGCTGGGTACAGGTCAGGGCAGACAGCAGGGCACAGGTCAGGGAACCGGACAGGGCACAGGGCAGGGACGCAGTGGGTCAAATCAGCAGGGGCTACGTCCCAAGGCGAGGGGGCTGCGTCCCAAAATGGGACGCAGTAAGTGCCTTAAAATATGCCCTGTAATTTTGCGAGGGGAGTCCAGCTTGTAGGACACCTTCTAGACACCACACCTGCCCTAAGAGAGCTTCAAATCGATCTGAGAATCGCTCTTTCAATGTGAGGTCATCCTATAGTGTCAAGGGGGGGGGGGGGGGTCCACGTCGCTCCTTCAGAGCACCATACTAGTCTAAGCATCCTCACACCGTTCTGAGGTAATATGAAATAATCTGCACAGGGCTCAGAATGCAGGTTCGTAGAGGTAGGACATTCACCCCATTGTCTGACTATTGATTGAAGCGGAGCATTTTGATATCCATTTTCAGGCCAGGATAGGTCACACTCATCACAGAGACTGAATGTCAATTGTCAGTCTCTAAGGACCCCATGCTGCTATATGAGGGCAGGGCTTTCAAATCCCTACAATACCTGCTATAGCACTGAGCTTTCCTTTAAGTACGGCCTAGGAGGACTCTACACTGGCTTTAGAGTTTAGAGCCAGTGTAGTAGATACCTGAGGGCCATGTAGGTCCCTGAACTCCCAAGCCCATGCCAGTCACAGAGCCCAATGCGTTCTCTGATGGCCAATATCGCCTTTGGAGCGCGCAACACTGGCCTCCATTCCTCAAGAACGTCGATTTGAGAGGCCGCCATGTCGGTGTCAATAGGGCTCTGCTCCTCGGTTTTCGGTTCCTTATGCAATCTAAACCTTGGTCTTGCAGTTCAAAGCAAACTTCTTCCAATAAAATTGTTAGGTTTCTTTGTACTCTAGAAAAACGGCAATTCTTCATCGATTTCGGGCGCTGCGGTGGGGGGGGGGGGGGAATCCCCCTGAATGCCACCCTGGATCCGCCAGTGAGGTTTTGTGTTTGGGTCGGACCCCCCCAATCCCAAAACCGTGGCGGAGCCCCTGGTTTTAGCGTCGTCTGCATGATATTCTGAGTAATCCCAAGCGTGACCGTCGCTGCAGCAGCAGCCATGGTAGCCACAATAAACGCAGTAGTCGACACAAAGCCTCAGTGGGACCGGGATGAGTTCATTAGAACATGAGCTCGGCGGTCGGCTGGGTGCCCCACCGTGCGGCGCCGGTATAACTCAGCTGACCCGCCTGCCCACCCAGGTAATGGCGGTGTCACCACTGCGGTCATGGCCTATCATCAACACGGGCCCGTGTAAAATGGTAGACGCCGTGTGGCGGCCGGCGGACGGGACAGGGCCCCCTCGCCGCCGACCGCCGCTGCCGCCGCGCTGTTACTTAC